TTTCGTTTGCGTCATGGTTGAGAAAAGTCGACTCATCTGCATGTGTTTACATGACAGAAACATCGTAAGATTCATCGAGAACGAAACTCCAAACAAATGCCATATTAATGGCCTTTGCTCCCTTTATAAATTCGGTTCAGTTCATTTTACGTACATTGCAACCGTGTTTCACATTAAAAACGACACGCTTTCAGCCTTTAAACAGGGTACACCAACGATACAAGTGGCAATTAGGATTAATAATAATCTTGAAGGAAAAATAAGCACATAAATGAAGACTACCGCAGATATCTAAAGCCTATCCCATACGTCTCGTTATTTTTTCTCGTGGTCGACGGGGACACTGGATATTAACCCAAAAGCATGCCATTAAAATGGGACACAGTATATCGACACCTCGCACCAGCATGCTGCAATTTATTTTCAAACTTTCATTGCCAATCCCACTGGCATTTAATAGGGTACAGGTGAAAAGTGCACTAGAGGCATTAACGCAGTCATATTCTCACCTACGAGTGGCTGTTAAACGCAGAAAGACCTCCTGAGGTCTATCTATCCAGCATGCGGAGCAATAATAGCGCTAATTTAAAGTAAATAGTGCTTTGAAACCAATGTAAGATAGTTGACTCAACTCTAATGACTCCTCATCAGCAGTTGCCTCCTTCTCAAAATGAATTGATAGATGATAGCGCTCTGAGCTGAACCAGCTTGCAACGAGGGATACCGTCTCTGTCGCTGCAGCAAAGGGACCTAATATTAATCTAAGTTGCCATTTCTAACAGTAGCCAACGTACTGTTCAGTTTTTGTTAGCATAAAATGCCGGTAACGAAAATAAAACACACGACAGTAAGGTTTCTAAAAGCTTATCCAAGCCAATCCTTAGGATATAGCTGTCTTTTACCTCAAAGTGACCTTATTTCATTATTATGTTACGAGTTGTTGCATACGGTTGCCTCGTTAGAGAATTCTTCTGCATGACAACCTCAAGTAGCATGTTGCCCGTTGCACCTCCTTCAAATCTCATTACATGAACAGACACAAAATATAAACACTAGTGTATATAAGTCATTCCAGCACAAAAGAGGTTCCGCAATGATCCGAACTCAGTTAGAAGTCCTTACTTGAAAGTGTTCTGTATATGTTTGTTCGAAACAGAAATACTCACGTTGCTCTGGATTATCTTGCAAACAGGTAGCATAAAATACAGTCCCCTCTTTATACTCACACGGTGTAAATGAACCGTAAACTTGCATTTAACCACATACAGAAATATTTATGCAAGCCACGACTCCACTTCACGGCGTTATATTAGCTGCAGTACATGGATCCCAACTCGAAAATTGCGCTGAGTCCAAAAAAAATACGTCCATGCGCAGCTGGTACAATTGCATCGAGTCGAGGCCTCTGTAAAACGTCTGTAGGACGTTCGAGCAAACTGAAAGAGGGATTGCGCCCTGCAAATTCAGAGAACTGACATAGATGTTAGCTATGTTTATGTTTATGCGTTTTCTGTATCCGTTTGTTTACTATTATGTTTCTAAATTGTTGTTTTATTTCTACAGCGTCGCCGGAAACCGTACGAATTGTTTCGTTGACTATTGCGATCAAGATGAAACCCTCGAGACTTAATGTACTCGCATGATTTCTGATCCTACCCACTATAGGCAAGGATTAACTTCAAAAAGAAATACCTCCAGTCGTCGCTTCATTATTTCGCTTAGAACTGGGCGGCAGCATAAAAACTAAAATATCGGGCTTAGCACACGTCTACAGTAAAAAAACAGCTCCGTTTTATGTGGTGTCATTAATCCTTCTAATCCTTCTCTCGGTTTTGCCGTAGCGTTCGCGTGAACTCATGTTTAAGGAATTTATCACTGTAATTTCGGTCGGTACTGCGTTGAACCAAAAGGCCCTGTATTCTAGCCTCGGGTCACTCGGCCTTTTTTCTGAGGTTCGAAAATAAGTACAACTGTGATTAATGAGTGTGAAGAAGGCAGGAAAACAAGGACTATGCTTGTCACATAGGTGATGCCGATCCTGCTTTTAAAAATAGGGCACTACTGGCTGATGACATGGAAATTAACAGCAGCTCTCCTCCATTAAATTTATGGAAATAAGGAAGTTAAAATTGACCACATCATGCATGCATAAGGAGACCGAAATTCCAGAGGTTATAAGCTTTCTCTTCCTTCTTCCCATATGTCATTGATAAAACGCGTCGGATAACACACAGCATAGCAGAACTGAGAGGGGGAGGTAAATTTCTTAAAGTTAGGATGCACTGTGGTTTAAAATGAATCAAATCGTATTAAACCGCTTTGAACAGATATTCATTACGTGACTAATCAGTGAAATGGTCACACACTGACCAAACAGTAGCTGAAAGCTTATCAGACTTTCACTCTTTCGCTCGTACTGCGATTACAATATTTGGTAACTGTAACTGATCAAACAATCCGTTAGTCAATTCGAGGCCTACGTGTCACTAATGTCTGCACTTGTTTCAAAGAGTATTTGCCATGTTAAAACAAAACAAAGTCAGACTCCTACAATGAATGACTTACATCATTCGACGAATACATCAGTTGCGTCATCTGCAAAGAGCCGCAACTTGATCACTCGGTGTGGATTGATGGCGGCTATCCCTTGCACTTGAAGCTTCACCGAGACTTCTACATACGTTTCGATACCAAAGGCAATGACAAGACCCTTCCACAAATACTGAGCTGTATCGCAGCTAAATATTACCCTTCTAGTCTAGTACACTAAATAATTTTGAGGGACAAACTGCTCATTATGCAATGTTTCCAGTCGCAACATTCCAGGTGTTGAGGTGGTTCTTTCATACATCGTATAATATGTTCTACGGAAAGCTGCTGTGTGTTGATTACAAATCCGATCGCTTAAGCGAGCAAACTTCTACAGTAACTAAAAGCCAAAGAAATGTTCATTGGATAATGCAATTATGGATATAATCTGTGACCAAGCCCGATTCACGAGTTGATTATACCATAAACCTTCTTTTAATGCAAAACGACGGTTATTTCCTGCTGATGCATATTACAGCGCTGAACAATGTATTTCGCCCCCTATCAGCCCAAGCTAACGGAGACCGT